ACAAACACCAAAAATCCTGATTACTGTTGAAAACACTCAGCTACAACTTTATCAATGAGAGGGACGGTAGTGAACTTGCCAGGGAACCGTGTTCCCTGACTTGATAAAAATGCTGATACGTTTTCACACAGTAAGAGGAACAAAGCAGTCACAGCCAAGCGAGTCGTACCGGACACAAACAACGTGCGTAGCACGGACAACACACAGCAATTAAACAAGACACGCAGTCTTTAAATATCCCTTGGAGTTTCTTAACAGAAAATTACCACTTAAGTGTCGCTTTGATAGCGAGCAGCTGATTCTTCGGCGTCAGCAACAGCAATCAGGGTAGTCGACTAAGTTGAGAAGGTAGAGCACAGATGTGATCTTCTCAGTTAAGCACAGAGTTTTATCAGTCTTCTTATGCAGGAAGGAAACGGTATCTTCTGTAACAGTTTCTTTAGGGATCCAAAATTGTGTTGGTAACACAAAGAAAAAATAATAGAGGATAAAAAAGAAGAAAACAGAGTTGCTTGTCCATCGAGTGAAGTCTGTATTCAGGAACAAAGAAAGCTCAGCGCTGAAAGAAAGTACCTCCTGTGCTGCTGGTGCAGTTGCAGAAAGGCAGAGTTGTTTACCTCCTTGCAGTCCCCTGAGGAACTTGGAATGACAGTGGGGGTTTGGAGCTGTTTGGTTTTATACCTCTGTTGACAAAAATGGCTGTACTTCCTGGGATTACTCCGCCTCCTGAAAGCTTTAGCCATTATAAACCTTAGGTTTGGTTTTAAAAGTTAGAGGTTCACAGGTAGGTGTGATTTAACTGACCGGCCATTTGGGCTTTCCATTGTTCTCTGACCTCCTTTGTGCAGCCAAGCCGCATGGCAGGCCTGTAGATTCCAACAGGCCCAGTCTTTTGTTCTACCAGACTGTGAGGCCCAACAAATGTCAGTGCAGGATGATGGTTGCATGAATGTGTATGTGTGAAGGTGTTGTATTAGGCAAAAACAAGGTAAATACCACAAAGCGGCAGTCCAAAACCAAACTGAAGGGGAAAACCGGGGAGCCGGGCCGCAGAGAGGTCTGACCTGACCTCAACAGCAGCCTCCTGCAGAATGAGAAGACAGATTTACACATAGCCTACACTCAAGGGAACTGGGCCCAGGTGCCTCCAGTTACCACAATCAGCTCTTCCTCTACAAGGAGGAGAGAGAGATAGGCCACACACACTCCTGACCCCACTGGGCATGTATGGCAACCATCCATTCCAGTGGCTGTTAAATTCAAACACAAGCACACCTCATTCTACTGAATGAGATACTGATTAAGTGATCACCTGAGACAAATCACATTTAATGAGGAAAAATATAACAACCACTGCTTTGGTCATCACTATCCTCTTGAAATTGGACCAGCTGGATGGTAAAAGCAGTGCTAGTAGTATCTCAAAGGTAATCTGAGCAAAAAAGGGACAATTACCACACAATAAGGAAGAGTGAGAGTCAGAGCACTTCACTGGCTCAGCTTGTAACCCACTGATGGCCGCTGACCAGCTCCAGCTGCGGGATTTACGCAGCGGCAGGCTCAGGGCCCAGGTACACACCCGCAGAAAAGAGACAGAGACACCCACAGCAACACAAGCACAACCCACAGACCTCACAGGTCGTAACAACAACATTTTTATATTTGAAATAATATTTTGTGAGTTGAGGGAGTTTAGTTTGGACCATTTTTTACCATGAAGGTGTCTGATGCTGATCTGTCTTCATATTTCCTTTAAACTGGAGCGTGAATGAGATAGAGGTCAAAGGTCATGGCCAAGCACAATAGCTGTTAAAGAGGTGGTATTATGCTTTTTGGCTTTTTCCCTCTCCTTTATTGAGTTATATATCTTTTTTGTGCATGTAACAGGTTTGCAAAGTGAAAAAGCCCAAAGTCCAGCCCAAAGGGAGTTCCCATCTCCCGCAGAAAGTTCTGCTCTGAAATGCTTGAAAACAGCTCGTTTGTAGTCCAGTCCTTCACTTCCTTTACTTGTGACATCACAATGAAAACGCATCATAAAGCTTGCCAAGCGGCTTGCGGGGGTCAGGCACGCCCTCAAACCAAGCTAATCTGAGCCGAGGCCCTTTGGCTCAACTAGCCTTTTTTTGGGTTTCCATTGTAGAAATGTTGCACCTGTACCTGCTCCCAGGTACTTTTTTTCGTATCACCTCCCCTCCGTCGAGGTTCCAAGCGAGCTGAGGGATACTAAAATGTACCTTGAAAACACGACAGACTGCTGATTGGTCAGAGAGAATCGTCACTATTCACTGCATCATCATCGCGTGCACCAGACAGAGGTCAACAACAGGTTTTTATATTTTACAGTTTTTGTATGGAATTTCATCACTAAATCCACTTCTGAGAAGTTTTGAGGTGAAATCAGCTGTGTAGATTTCGAATATTGACAGTGTTACGAGAAGTGATGGCGAAAAAAAATGCTTGAATGTTTTCAGAATTGACGAGCTCCGCAAGTGGCGGCGGGGGAAGCCTGTGCCAACACGTGGGAGTAGCGTGTGAGGCCGGCCAGCCACCCGCTCACAGAGCCCTTTGCTCCCACCGTCACACAGACCGCTGCAGCAACAACGGCAGAGGAAAACACAGCTGGAAGGTTTTTCATACCGCTTATCTGTCTTTACATTCTGAGGAATGTTGAAACATTATAACCATAGACTGTATATATTTTAAGAGCTGTGTTGATCGCTGGTGTGTGTGTCACATTGAACATTATGTAGCTGCAGTTACGTGTGGTGTCGCTATCTCTGGGTTCTGCAATGGAAAACGAAGCAGGGCCGAGTACAGTCGAGTCTATCGATTTGCGCTATGGTAGCATTTTTCAGCAAGGCAGCATAGATCGTCAGAACACCGGCAACAGTTCAACGTTTAGTCCTGATGGTAAGATGTGGAACAATGATGTTGTGTGGTTGTGGACTGGTAATAACTTATACCATCTGCAAGGTTACGGTCGCAGTCTGAAGCGGCTTTGATTTGGATCACACTACCTCGTTTCTTACGACCCGCCCTTCTCTGCTTCTGATTGGCTAGTAGTCCTTACCTGGGAACTGCGCATGTGCAACTCCCAACAAAGGTTTTGTACAAGTAAGATGCATCACTCTGTAGCTCAAGAGCAGAGCGTACAACACACAGGGTGAAAAGAGGAGCTGCAGCAACGTGCAGTATGAGAAAAATATGGTGTTTTTTGAAAATGAAACCACGTAAATCTGTTCTGGTACAACCCCTAATTAAGATTTTGAACCTGAAAATGAGCATAATACCACCTCTTTAAAGGAACAATGGTGACATTTTCAGTCCACTTAATGAAATTTTGTGTGTGTGTGTCCTCAGTGAAGTGTATCAGTCTCTGCAGTAGCTTCCAGCTGCAGCAGTCAGTTCAGTTTCTGTTCAGTCTGACTGAGGGAGGTTTTTGTACGACACTTTTTCACTGTGTGAACAACCACTGACTGTTGATGTAATGATGACTCTGACAGTAGTAAACTGCTGCATCTTCAGTCTGGACTCCACTGATGGTCAGAGTGAAGTCAGAGTTTGATCCACTGCCTGTAAAACGACCTGGAATCCCTGATAGTAGCTGATTAGCAAGTTTAACAAGCAGTTTAGGAGTTTCTCCATCTCTCTGTTGGTACCAGGCTAAATAGTGGTATGGGCTGCTATAATAAACATTCTGACTGGTCGTACATCTGATGGAGACGGAGGCTCCCAGAGCAGAGCTCACTGCTCCAGGCTGAGTCACTGTGACCTGGCCTCTGGACTCTGAGGATACAGAGACAAAAACATAAAGCAGCGTCATGGTTTTGTGGGCTTCATTTCAGAGGGACGGATGTTCATAGAGGAGAGGAGTTTGATTCTCTGGACTTTACCTGTGAAGCAGCAGCAGAGGAGAGTCCAGATGAGGACGCAGATCAAAGTCATGTTTTTGATGAGGAGGATTTCTGTGGCTTCTGTTGTCATGAAGGACAGCTGTCAGTCATCCAGTGTTCAACTCTCAGGACTATAAACTCTCCCAGAGCACTGGAGCATGGTGCTGCTGATGCAAAGTGTCTCTCTATGGAAATGCTCTGACTGACTCCAGCAGGGACTTGGATTACTCTGATGATGCTGTTTATCAATGAATCAATCAGTTTATCAGTGTAATGTTTGGATCTATTAATTCTCTTTTTTATATGGATTTGGCTATAGATTAAAATTATTTCAGAATGTCCTCTGTTGCATAAATTTCACGAAATTCACTAACAATGAAATTTCAACACTGGGATTGTTGTTTATTTTATCAGTAATCAACGTGTAAGTTTTTCATTAATATGTATATCTGATCATTTTTGTATTTTCATTTAGCTCAATGTAAAGTTTATTTTCTGTACATTTCTCTTTTGCTTTATTTTACTATAAGTCAGAATATTTTTAGACCTTTAAAAATTCAGTAAGTGTGAAATTTTTACTTTTTAATTTGTATAGTTTAACTTTTTACTGCATAGCTGTGAATGTGTTTGCTGAGTTTGTTTGTGTCAATGTCAGAGAGCCGTGTCTCTACAGTGAGAGGTTTTTGTACGGCGGCTCAATGAGTTTGTATCACTGTGGTACACGTTCGGTGGAGGAACCAGACTGGATGTTGGAAGTAAGTCAAACCTTTAACAAAACTTTTATTTCAATAGCTATTTTTCAACTTTTATAATCAGCATGCCAGAAAACTATTTGACTTTCCATATTAATGTATAAAGTTTATTAAAATTATTTGCACTAAGAAACAAAGTTCACTTTAGTAATAGAAATTTACCAACTCATTATATAAATAGTAAATACACAATATTAAGCCACAGCAGAAATCATTATTTCCAAACTTAATGGTAAAGTTGCATCTTGAGGGCTTGTAGCTTAAGTTCAGTCTGTCAAAGTCAGAGAGCCGTGTCTCTCTACAGTGAGAGGTTTTTGTACGGCGGCTCAATGAGTTTGTATCACTGTGGTTGACTTTTGGTGGAGGAACCAGACTGGATGTTGGAAGTAAGTTTCTGCTCAAATACTAAATACAATATTATCAAGTCCTGCTTTAAATTCAACTTTTCAATGTTTAATGCAGATAAATATATCTTGTTTTACTTATAAAACTTTTATTGTTCATGTTTTTATTTCTCTTCCTTTACCATGGAGGCTAACTCAGAGCAGCTTAATTAAACTGTGCCTCACACAGTCCTGTCAAAATGAAATGTAATCAACTTGGAAGTGGAGAAAATATAAAACTTTAATCTTAATGTAAAAATGTTTAGATTAGTTAATTTTAAAATGCTCTCCACAATAATGGCTGTTGTTGTGAATAAATACAATTCACTTTCTTCATGTAAAATTGAAGTGAAGATAAATATGAGTGTTTTAAAAATGTTGCCTATTGTTATGAATTTGGAAAAAGAATATATTTTATTTCCATATTAATCGTGAAAGGACAACTGGCACTACTTTCAACACAGTGGTCAGTGTATCTGTCAGTAAGTGAAGTGATACAGCTGAGCAGTGATACCTGTGTGACTGAATTTGCACTTGAAAAGTAACGATGTTTAAACTGTATCTAGTGGTTCAACTCATCATTATAGATGTTAATGTAAGTGAAGAAACAATTTGAAATCCAGATGAAGAACATCTGATTGTTGTCAGATCATTTCTGTTTTGGTTTCCACTGAATAAATTATTGTACAGTCAAGTTTTTGATGATCTTGATAAGAAAGTTTGTTATTTATTTCCAGTGTAGTTTGATATATTTCAGGTCGTTCTGTATGATGATTCTCTCTGTGCTGATTTGCCTGAGAGGCTTCTTAAAGGGAAGTGAAACAATGTGTGAGTGAGTGACTGGTGGAGCAGAAAAAACATGTGACAGAAACTCCTTAAAGGAGAAAATCAGCTCTCACACAGTAAAGGTGTCCTCTAAGCTGATTGGTGTCTCCTAGGTGATGTCCGTCCCACCCTGACGGTGCTGCCCCCCTCCAGTGAGGAGCTGCAGCAGGGGAAGGCCACGCTCATGTGCCTGGCCAACAAGGGCTTCCCCTCAGACTGGAGTCTGGCCTGGAAGGTGGACGGCAGCAGCAGCAGCAGCAGCAGCTGGGAGGAGAGCAGGAGCCCCGGGGTGCTGGAGAAGGACGGCCGCTACAGCTGGAGCAGCACCCTGAGGCTCCCTGCAGACCAGTGGAGGAAGGTGGGCTCTGTGACCTGTGAGGCCACCCAGGGCTCCCAGGCTCTGGTCTCAGAGACACTGAGGAGAGACCAGTGTTCCCAGTCCTGACCTGACTCACTGGGACTCTACTGGTTTTGCTACTGGTTTTACTCTGCTACTGCTCTTAGTCTGCTCTCTGTAACTCTGTCACTCAACTCTGTCATCAGATATTATTAACATTATTCAACTTTAATTAGTGAAGCTTGATTGATGTAATGATGTTATCAATATAAGAAAATAAAAAAGTTATTTCAAATTAAGCAGTATTTCATGAATTCCTTTATGCCAAAAAATATGTATCTTCCTTGATGTTATACGTGCAGTATTGAATCTGATGTCAGAAGAAGACTTAATAATTCATTACTGCTGATGGTTTTATTAATACATTCTGGGATTGCATTATTTATTTTCACTCTGCCAGAAACTCCTTGAATCTCACCTTACAGTGTCTCTGTTTAGCAGAACTATCATAATGCAGGTTTAAACAAGGTGTGAATGAAAAGTGAAAGAAGGTGTTTTCATGAAATCATTTAAAACGTAGTTTATAAAAAATCTACATTACACAATAAAGTTTCAAGAATTAAACATAAAATACAGAGTAATGTCAACATGAGATGAGTTCTTATCTCAGATTATTACACCAAAGATTTTATGTCAGTGTTGCATATGTGTTTAAGATCACCACTAATGAGTTATTGTTTACATCTTGATTTAATGTTTTTAATTGTGCTGGTCAGTAGTTTTCAGGATTCAAAATTTTCTAATATGTCATTATATCTTAAATTTTATTATCTGCAGACAAAATACTAACATAGTTAGTAATCCCTTGTTTAGGAGGGATGTCTTTTGGTTCTGTTTTGTTCTTTGGTTTACGCAGCACTCACTTGCCCAGTTTGTGTTTTGACTTTTTTTTTTAACTTTTTCCCGTTTATTAAATAACATTTACACTTTTACCAAAAACATCTGCTTTATGTTTCCCCTACCCCTAGCGAGCGGGGACGTAACAATCAAAATAACAAAATATAAATGTGATTTCACATTTTACAAAATCCGCATGGAAGTGCATTGAATTTAAATAAAATACTCACCTAAAACAAAGGAAAACTCACGAAATGACATTTCTTATTATTGTAACCTCTCAGTGTGTTTCAATAAAATGTTGAATATGAATGTTGAATTACTTTGAAAATAACATTTCAAGACACTGAGAAACACATGTCATTAATTTAATAAATCTTTAAATTATTTTTTGTGAATATTTCAAAAACTGCATTACTGTCTTTTTACTGAGAAGTGGCTTTGGATATACTGTTTTGACACCTCTCTAAAAAAACACTATCAAAAAATACTACTTCTGCATATTCTGTATTTCCATGATTTTGCTGTTATTTCTTTTGTACTGTATTAATATTTAAACATCTAGTGTTTTCATTTCTGTGCAGCTGGTGAGTCAGATCAGTTCCTCTCCAGCTGAGGGAGGATTTTGTACGACGTTGTATCACTGTGTGAACGGGAAGCTGTGACCACCCTGGTGACAGTAATAAACTCCTGCATCTTCAGTCTGGACTCCTCTGATGGTCAAAGTGAAGTCAGTTCCAGACTGACTCCCACTGAAACGATCTGAAACTCCAGACTGACGGGTTGTAGCATAACGAATCAAAAGTTGAGGAGATTCTCCAGCTTTCTGAAGGTACCAGTGAAGGTAGTTACTCATACTTGAACTGGCTTTACATCTGAGAGAGACAGTCTGTCCTGGAACAACAGACTGAGATCCAGGGGACTGAGTCAGGATGATTTCTCCTGATGAAACTGGAAAACATGAAAAAGAGGAGAAGGATTATTGAGACAAATCCAGTTTGGAGAAAGATGATCAACATCCAAACAGAAGAGTCTCGTTTCTTTAACATGGAGAACAGATGGAAGAAGGTAAATGCTGCTTGTTTCAGTGTTTCTCCATCACAGCAGAACATCATTGTGGTGAACCTGGTTGCATCCTGAAGCAAAGTTTTCAGAAGAGAGTCTCACCCTGAACAAGGAGCCCCAGGGTGGCCAGCAGTAGAATCAGTGACATCATCATTGTGCTGCCGGCGTGTCAGTGGCTCTGAAAGGCCTGGACAGCCACTGATCAACACTGGCCTCTTAACGGCTGGGAGCAGAGAGGCAGGACACATATGCAATCACACAGAGTCAGTGAGCTGTAGCTGTCCTCAACATATCATGCTGTTTCCCCCTCAGTGCTGAGAGCGTTGATCTACATATTTACATATTTACATGTAGACGATACTGAAAACCTGTCATTTTCACTATCCTCTACATGTAATATGGTAATTTTAGACAATGATTAGTGACATTAATATCAATGTAGGTTTGACATATTTAGGTGTCTGTAATATGGAAATTTCTTTAAGTAAAGTAGTGTTGGGTTATTGAGGGGATGCTGAGGACGACGATCTCAGAGAGCTTCCTCGAGAAACTCCAACCAGAAGTTTTGGACATGTGGGCGGAGCCAGAACACATTGAAGTCATCATCAGTTACATTACTGTTTTTATAACATGACCTCCCTCAGCAGATGGGGTTCACCCAGCGGTCATGGAATATTCAAACTTTGATGCCAACATGGACGTGAAGTCTTAAAAATGCTCAGAGGAAGAGGAATTTGAAAATCTACATTTCAGAGAAAACTGGGTGACTCCATCTGCTGAGAAAGATCATGTGATGTGATTGAAAGCTCCACAAAGTTAGTTGATAGATGTTGTGCAGAGACTGTTTAACTGTTTCCAAGTTGAAGAACAAACTTTTAATCTCAGTGTATTTGTTTGATTTTGAGGTGCATGTAAAAGAACATGTTACTGCATATGCTTTATAAAAAGTGTATGCGTTATAATTAACTTATACACATGTAAATGTATACGTATCAAGGAGGTTATGTCTTTTGTGTTTTTTTTGTGTGTGTGTCCTGGAATGGTTTGGGCAGTCTCTGATCCTGAATGTCTCTGATGCTGATCTGTGTCTTCATATTTCGGATTAAATGTGTATTGTTGAAATTGCTTTAATCCATTATGAGTCTGAGGTCAAAGGTCATGAACAAAACTTTTCTTATATGCTTTTCCAGGCTGGCTACTCTGGATTATTTGGCAAATCAGAAAAGACAGTGGGATTATATAAAGATCTGAATAGATGGTAAGAAGCTGTGATGGAGAAAGTAATTTTATTTCAAATTTATATATAATATATTCAGATAATATTATTTTGCTTTTTTTTTTTTTTTTTAATTGAGCTTATTTTGCTACATGTTCATTGGTGGTTAAAGCAAAAGTTGTGAAATCTTCAACCTTGTAGATAACATTGTGTGTGTGTACAGTATGTGTGTGTGTGTGTGTGTGTGTGTGTGTGTGTGTGTCCTCAGTGAAGTCTATCAGTCTCTGCAGTAGCTTCCAGCTGCAGCAGTCATTTCAGTTTCTGTTCAGTCTGACTGACGGAGGTTTTTGTACGATGCTTTTTCACTGTGTGAACACATCCTGACTGTTGATATAGTGAAAACTCTGACAGTAGTAAACTGCTGCATCATCAGTCTGGACTCCACTGATGGTCAGAGTGAAGTCAGAGTTTGATCCACTGCCTGTAAAACGATCTGGAATCCCTGATGCTCGAGTGCTAGCAGTGTAAATGAGGAGTTTGGGAGTTTCTCCATCTCTCTGTTGGTACCAGTGTGAATAGTGGTTGCCATCATTATAAACATCCTGACTGGTCGTACATCTGATGGAGACGGAGCCTCCCAGAGCAGAGCTCACTGCTCCAGGCTGAGTCACTGTGACCTGGCCTCTGGACTCTGAGGATAGAGACAAAAACATAAAGCAGCGTCATGGTTTTGTCAGCTTCATTTCAGAGGGAAGGATGTTCATAGAGGAGAGGATTTTTGATTCTCTGGACTTTACCTGTGAAGCAGCAGCAGAGGAGAGTCCAGACGAGGACGCAGATCAAAGTCATGTTTTTGATGAGGAGGATTTCTGTGGCTTCTGTTGTCATGAAGGACAGCTGTCAGTCATCCAGTGTTCAACTCTCAGGACTATAAACTCTCCCAGAGCACTGGAGCATGGTGCTGCTGATGCAAAGTGGCTCTCTGGTGTTTCCCCCTCAGTGCTGAGAGCATTGTCCTCAATATTTACATATTTATATGAAGTGGATACTAAAAAGTCTGGTAGTAAACTGTTTTAGTGATTTTGTTTTGTTATTCCAATGTGGAAAATGAGTTTAATATGGTCTGTTGAGAATGAATAGTGACTTTATTTTAATGCATATTGACGACGGATGTGGTTGTTTATAATATTGAGATTTTCTCAAATAAAGAAATGATGAGTCATGAGGGGAGGCTGAAGCTGGTATATCAGGTAGCTCGCTAAAGAAACTACTCGGAATTTTGGACATGACGGCAGAGCCAGAAAACAGCTATTATGGAATATTTAAACATTGAAGCCAACATGGACATGAAGTCCTAAAAATGCTCAGAGGAATAGGAATTTAAAAAAAAAATACAGTTTGCAGTTAGAGTTATAAACATCTAATAATATGAAGTAGGTCACTTGTGTCTTTTTGTCTTGATTCCATTTGATAATGAGCTTTTCTTTACATAAATTTAGCTTAAAATAATATTTTCATCGTGAAGCTTATGCTGATCTTTGCCTTCATATTTTTGTTTTGATTTCTGTAATCCAGTATGAAGCTGAGGTCAAAGGTCATGACCAAACATTTTTGTAATTGACTGTCCCAGATTGGATCTTAATGATTATTTGGAAAATAGATACGAACATGGGATTTTTATTAGGATATGAATAGATGGTGAAAAGCTGTGATGGAAAGATTCATTTGATTTGCACTAGATAAGTTTTTGTCATTGAACTTGTTTTTTAGGTTAATTGATGGTTAAAGCTGCAATGTTCCATCTATTTGATGAAACAGTGTGTCTGTGTGTGTGTGTCCTCAGTGAACTGTATTTGTATTTAAAGTCCAGATTAAATGTTTATGCTTTACAATCAAATTTCACCATAAGATAAATACAGTGAATGATCTACACTTTGTCACTCCCCTTAGCATTTCTGTGAGTCTCACTGGACTGCCACAAAGCTTTTCTAACATGTGATCAAACTTTAGGAAACAAAACTATTGGTTAGGTAAAAAAAAATCAGTAACGTAGCAACGTAACACTTGTGTAATTTGATTTCCAGCAAGATAATTATTTGACACAGAACTTGTTCTGAAACT